AAGGGGTGCTTGTCCCTATACTATTTATCACCACCTCTCTAATTAGAACAGAACTTCTATAATGAGTAAGCTATCATGTTCCCTAAAAAGCAGAGCCTGAGGCAGGGATTGAGTCCTGATGCTCTCCCAGGCAGATCCATCCCAGAGCAGTGTGCATGTGGGAAAAGCAAAGCGAGGCCAGGAAAGCTAAGCTAGGCAACCGCCTCTCTGACTGACCCACTTCACAGCTCACTGTGAAGATCCAGAGTCCACTGTCAGACACACCAAGGGGCCACCCATCTTTTCTCAGGCTACACAGAGAAACTGACTTGGGATCAGCCATAGGAGGAAGCTATGAGCAGGAATTCACCTACCTGGCTTCTTCCCATCTTGCTCTGAGGAATTGGGCCATCTCTGTATTTCTGAGTTTCATCATCAGGCCAGTTCGGTCTGCGGGTCTACAGATGCAGTGCCATAACCCACCACGTGGCATCACATCCAGATTCTAAATGAAGAAGGCCAGAAACTCAGGGCACAAGACTGATTTGGCAGTGACTGGGATGGTATCTTACATCTGTTTCAAATATTGGGGTACTTTTTTTATTTTGTTTTGGTTTTGTCTTTTTTTTGAAGCAGGGTCTCCCTGTAGCCCCAGCTGTCCTGGAACTCACTATGTAGGCTAGGCTGGCCTTGAACTCACAGAGATCTGCCTGCCTCTGTCTCCCGAGTGCTGGGATTACAGGTGTGTGCCACCACGTATTTTTATTTATTTGCTTATTTGTTTTGAGACAGGGCGTCCCTGTACCCCCAGCTTGTCTGGAACTCACTATGTAAACCAGGCTGGCCTTGATCTCATAGAGAACCACCTGGAAATAAAGGCATGTGCCACCATACCTGGCTAAGATTTATTTGTGTGTGTGTGTGTGTGTGTGTGTGTGTGTGTGTGTGTGTACAGGAGCCTGTGATGGACAGAAGAGAGCATTGCATCCCCCAGAGCTGGAGTTATGGGTAGCTGTGAGCCATTTGCCATGGGTGCTGGAAACCAAACTCGGGTCCTCTGCAAGACCAGCAAGTGCTGTTAACCACTGATTTGTCTCTCCAACTCTTTCAAATACTGTTTTTGACAGGAGGCTCAATTATGTTCCCCTCTCTCGTTAATTTAATTGGATTTAGAATCATGTAGGAGGCACACTCTCAGTATGTGTATGAGGGTGTTTCCAGAAAGGTTTAATTGAGTAGAGGAGGGAAGACCCACTCTGAAGGTGGCACTGTCCCATGGGCTAGAATCCCAGACTGAATAAGAGGTAAAAGCTAGCTAAACACCAGCATCTGTGTCTCTCTGCTTCTTGACTGTGGGTGGACCATGGACCAGCTGCCCCACGAACCTACCACCATGATTTCTCTTCATGATGGACTGTACTGTAATTAGGCATCTTATCACATCAACGGGAAAAATGAATATACCTTCAAAATTCCTGCATTGAGGTTCTAACCCCCAGTATTAGATAGCTAGTCAGCTTTCAAGGATGGACTTGAGAAAGTCCCGACTCTTATAATCAGCCCTGGACCCCACCTCTTGAGTCCCTGTTTACACACTAGTTTAGGAAAGGAGAAATAGCACAATTACCCCTCCTTACAATTTGAAATACCATATGAAAGGCTGGCTACAGACTAGATGAAGGGAGGGAGGTGAATGGAGCAGGGCCTCCCGCGTTAAGGCAAGGGGGAACGCTGTCTCCTTCTGGAACATAGTCATTTTATGGATTTTTGGTCTCTTTCTTGAATTCCTTATAATCTGCTCTGTTACGTGAGTTTTTAGTTAAAAGGGCGGGATCTGAGTTGCAGCTCTTGCTCTGGATAGAAACATGATTTCTGAACTGCCGGGAAGAATCTAAGATTACTATCTAGCAGGGGGTTTTCTAGCAAAGAACAAAGACATACCACTGTCCTCTTCCTTAATCCAAATGGCTCTGTCAATCATTTAACCAGGAAAATGGCCTCAGGAAAGCTATCTGTTCCAGAAACTTTAGAAAACAGTGTAGAGCCCACCTAAACATGCAGGTTGGCACAACAGTCCCTCTGGTCATCACTCCCTCGCATCTCCTGCGAGTCTTTTCCTCCACACGGTTCCTTTGGTCTTTTCCTACTCTCACCCTTAGAGTAGCTCATATTCTTCCGTGATAAGCTCTGCCTCCCTTTGACCCTGTGTGTCTTGTCTGAATTCTCTTGATGGAGATCACAAGGACCAGGGAGTTGAGGGGAGACCAGAGTGAGATCCCAGAAACACCAGAACCTTAGAATGTAACTTCATTTAGAGACAAAGCCTTTGAAGTAGCTAGGGGGACCTGATGAGATAGCTCAGCATATAAAGGCGCTTGCCCCTGAGTCTAACGACCTGAGTTCTATCCTCAGCTCCCACACACATAGTGGAAGGAGAGAACTAATTCCTAAAAGTTATCCTTTGACCTCCACAGACGCACTGTGGCATGTACATGTGCATCCACACACATACATGCACAATAAATACATGCAAAAATTTTATAAAATAAAGAAGCAATAAAGGTAAAATGAGATCATATGGGTAGGCCCATATATGCTTATAAGAAAAGGAAATTGAGGCAGACAGGAAAATGTCACGTAAAAAAAACAGAAAGATTTTGGTCTCCTATAAGCCAAGGAAAAAGAGGAAGTCAGCCAAGACCTTGGTCTCTGATTTCCAACCCCCAGAACTGTGAAATACTGAATTCCTATTGTTTAAGCCCAGCAAGCTGTGGCACTGTGTCACGGCAGCCCCAGCAAACAGATATCTACCAACCCAGATCCCACCCTGACTATTTTCAAGTCTGTTATTCATTTGCATTCCCTTGAGGTCAATCCCTAAAGCAACCAAATTATTAACTCTCTGAATCCACCAGAATGAATGGGCCGTCTTAATTTCTTTAATCAAAATCAGAGTCCCCAATAAAGCATGTTTTTGCTAGTAGGGTGCAGCAACATAATCAAATAGGCACTATATGTTTAATGAATAATTTATATATTGCACTGGTATTAGCTCTGCAATTATCTCCCTACCACTTGCTGGGCCCTCGCAACAATTATTAATATATTAGTGCACTGATTATTGAGATTGCAAAGCAACTTCAATCAAGTCAATGAAAGAAATGAAAAGACGATAGGAGATATATTTTCTACCAAAAAATACTACAATATACAAGATCCACAAACCCTGATACAAAAAATTAAAAAAATTAAGCAAAGTGGAAAAGTGCAATTGGCTGAAATATCAAACATTTACATTGCTGTGATGAACATCACTTTGTACAATAATTGACTCAATCAGTTCAGTTGCTCCTTCAGGGATTGGAAAAATCATGTGAATTGAACAAAATACACTTAAAATGATCAAAGATGGGAGAGCAGGGGACATGCCAAGAGAATCAGAAAACAGCAAACCAGAGCATGGCTCTGTTTTTAGCAGAGGACTTAGTAGTGTCCTGTAAGCATGGTGTAATCAAACTCACATTAACAACACAATAAGTAAGTGTTGTTTGGTGCTGTCTTGTGGTATTTTTTCTCCCCTTTCCCTGTCTGCTAGCCCTGACCTGTTTTCCTCATACCTTGGGTTTTACATCTTCTTAATCACATTTTATTGCTTCTCCATTCATACACGGCATTTTGAATCATATCTACATTCATTCAAATGCCTTTGTTGGAGGGTCTGTGTTAGTGGGGGGAGGACGGTAAACAGAACCAGTCCTGTCCTCAAGGTGTTTTTCCAGTAGAGTGGACAAGCACTTAAAAGGTATGGCCAATATTTCTGTATTAGAGTTCTCTAAAGGAGCAGAATGGAAAGACTGAATATATATATACTAAAGGGGGATTTATTAGACTGACTTGCATGATGTGGTCTGGATAGTCCAACAATGGCTGCACCACCCTGAAGAGGATGAGAATTCAGTAGATGCCCAGTTCATGAGGCTGGATATCACAGCAGTTCCGATCTGGCAATGGAAGCCTGGGGGATTCCCTGGAGAGCTGTTGATCTTCAGTCTACACTAGAAGCTTGAAGAAGCTGCTTCCAGTACTTGTGAAGGACTGCCACATCATCAGGGAGACGAACTTCCCAGAAGTAGTGAAGGTGAGCGAGAAAAGGCAATGTTCATTTCTTCCACACCTGCATTGCCTGCTAATAGTGGACAGAAGCAGGACTTAACATAGAAAGTTGTTTGACTCCCTGTTCCCAGGATGTTCTGCCCACGCCCCCATCATATAAGCCAACCTTTAATAAAATGGATAAATCTCGGTGTGTTCATGTGATGTAGAACAATAAATGAGTGAATAATATGGATGAACATCACTCATATGACATTTGATAAAAGAAACCAGACATTAGAGGGTGATGCTATGTGACATCTGGATAATGTATCACGGAAATGACGTGTCAAGGCACGTGGTACCAAGCTACATCGGTAGAAGTCAGGGAAGTCGTGGCCAGCAGGAGCAGGAACAGGAGGCTCGTGTTTAAAAGGTTTCTCAGGAACATTCTTCGTTTTTTCTTTTAGTAAATAAGTTTGTGATGTGTATATGTGTGTGTGTCTGTGTGTCTGCGTGTGTGCGCATGTGCACACACGCACAGGTGCACATATCCTACAGGTTGATAAGGTTAAAATATTGTAGATCTCAAGGGTGGGAGGAATTTTTCTACACTGGTTCACAAAGGAGTTAAGATATATGTTTTGGGGCTGAAGAGATAACTCAGCAGTTAAGAGTTTTTGCTGTTCTTGCAAAGGACCTAAATTCAGTTCCCAACACCACCTGTAACACAGCTCCAAGGGGATCTATACCTCTTCTGGCCTCCATAGACACTGCACTGACATGCACAAACACACACATAGACACATACATATACACATAATTAAAAATAAAATTAAAGACATATGTTTTGATGTGGCCTCATTTACATTCACAGGCTGGTGAAATCTGCAGAAATTCAGGTCACATTGTAGTACAAACGAGTGACTGTGCTCACTTCAGCAGCACATATATATACATATGATACAGAGAAGATTAACATGGCTCCTGTGTATGGGTGACATGCAAATTTGTGACGGATTCCTTTTTTTATGTTTTTTGGTCTTTTTGAGGCAGGGTCTCCCTGTAGCCCCAGCTGTCCTGGAACTCACTATGTAGACCAGGCTGGCCTCGAACTCACAGAGATCTGTCTATCTCTGCCTCCCAAGTGCTGGGATTAAAGGCGTGTGCCACCATGCCCAGCCATATTTTTTTAATAAATACCAGTTCCTGAAAAAAAAACCTGTTACTATTTTTAAAAAGCCATATGTTTTGACTGTAAACAATATTTATAGTCTTTTAAGATTCTCAGAAAATTACAGGTTTATGGCTGGAAAGAGGGTAAGGCTAAGCACAAAGGTCATTACGCTTAGGTCTCAAGCATGACTCACTGCTGTCTTAACACTATTGTTTAAAGTGTCTCCATAAAAAGACAAGCTAGGTATGGTGGCACACACCATAATCTCTGCACTTACAAGGTAGAGGCAGGAGGATCAGAAATTCAAAGCCAACCTCAGCTACATAATGAGTTCTAGACCAATCTGGGCTATTTGAGACCCATTTCCAAAGAAAAGGAAAGTGAAGAAGAAAAAAAGAAGGAAAGGAGGGAGGAAAAGAGAGAGGGAGGGAGGAAAAGGGAGGAAAAGAGAGAGGGAGGTGGGAGGAAAAGAGAGAGGGAGAGGGAGGAAAAGAGAGAGGGAGGGAGGGAGGAAAAGAGAGAGGGAGGAGGAAGGAGAAGAGAGAGGGAGGAGGGAGGAAAAGAGAGAGGGAGGAGGGAGGAAAAGAGAGAGGGAAGAGGGAGGAAAAGAGAGAGGGAGGAGGGAGGAAAAGAGAGGGAGGAGGGAGGAAAAGATAGAGGGAGGAGGGAGGAAAAAAGAGAGGGAGGGAGGGAGGAAAGAGAGAGGGAGGAGGAGCATGGGAAGGAGGAAGGGAGGAGGGGGAGGGAGGGATACCGATTCTATGTAGGCTATCTTTACAGCAAATTTTGCTAATTGTACTGGAATTCTTTTATTTATTTGTTTGTTTTGTTTTTATTTTATGCGTATGAGTGTTTTGCCTGCATGTATGTAAGTGCGCCCATGTCATGCAGTGCTTATGGAGGTCAGAAGAAGGCATTGGATCCCCTGGAACTGGAGTTATGTACGGTTGTTAGCCACCATGTGGGTGCTGGGAACCAAACCCAGATCCTCTGCAAGAGCAGTCAGTGCTCCCAACCACTGAGCCATCTCTCCAGCCCCGCACTGGAATTCTTGACTCCGAGCTGACGAGAGATTTCAACCAAACTCCAAACTGAAGAGCTCCTTTGTTTTTCCACATTCCCTTCATCTTCCCTGTGTTTTATCCTGGCTCTCAGTGACTGGGAAATAGACAGGGGGGATAAGAGCTGGTTAGGAGCATGAGGTGGAAGTCTGGGGGTGCTGTCCACGTTCTCTTTTTGTATTGTTGGTTTAAGTAGACAGTCATTGTGAGGATTCACTGAGCTGTACTGCTATAAGCAGTGCTCTTCTATGTATATTACATTTCAACGGTTTTGTTAAAATGCCACCAAGGTGTGCTACCCACCAACAAAGTTTTTCTAATGTTGATGCTAATTGAGCTCTCAGTTTTCCTGATTTTCACAGAAACAGATAAGAGTAATATTTCTTCCTGACCAGTTTCAAAGGGAGGCATCACGTCGTTCAAAATGCTGACAGGTCATCACAGCTAAATCTCCTGTGCATCTAGGCTGAAATTAGACTCTGCAACATAATTGATTGGTTTTATCCTGTGCCTACTCCAAGTGGAAGTTAAAAGCCACAGGAAACTGGGTTGATACAACAAAAACAGTGAAGTTCACATTTAAAGGCAGCAAAGAGTGTGAAGCTAACAAGAGCACCAGAGAGAGAGAGAGAGAGAGAGAGAGAGAGAGAGAGAGAGATGAATGAAGGAAACGTGTTTTTAAATTATAGCCATTAGTTGGCTCTTTAAAAATCACTCAATCTAGTTCCAGTATCATAAAGCCAGAGAGACCTCTTGGATGCACCCATACATGGGAAACAACTTTTTTGAATACAGAAAAAGATACCTGGTTTAACCTATGCCACCAAAGAAACATAAATGAGTCACTGGGCCAGATGAACTTGAGAAAAAAAATAATAAACATCCCCCTTAGTGAACATATAATCAGAGAGGAAATCAATTACATTTTTCAGATTAGAAGAATTGATTCTATAATTTAAGATGTATAGTTAATTGGTAGAATTCAGAGCCTTTGCTCTTCTGCATAAATCTAGAGTGTGTTGTATTTTGAAGTGAGTCCACAGGTCCAAGCTGGGGAGATACAATTGCCCATGCTGATGATGATGGTGACCATGTCGTGTTCTATCGACAAAAGCAGGCATCGCCTAACCTGATTACAGCCACACGCAATCACGCCATGACAGACATGAAATGCATCTACGGTCTACCCTTGATTTCAAACAAGGACTTAGGAAAATGGTTCAGAATATAAAATTATGGGAAACATTACAGTACATCAAAGCAAAGCAAGTTTAATTAGGCTTAGTTTGATAATTGCCGAAAACAAAGAACCCGCCTCACAGCATGGCTGGTATAAAATCCAGCAGTAAGTCCGGTTGATCCAAATTAAAACCACCCTATCTACCATCCCACATGAATCCTTTTATCCGAACGCTACAGAGAACAAAGACTTTCAATTCCACTCAGAATTACACAGGGCCGGACGCTTTTCATCAGAGTTTGCTTCAGCTAAAACCTGCCTATGTGTGTTTTGCATTTCTATCTCTAAAATACGACATATAAAGACTTTAAGATAAAAGCCACAGACTCATGGATACAGCGTCAGAGTGCTCCTGCACCATCCACGCAGTCACAGACTCCATTTCTACTTCGCCCCCAGAGGAGTCATGTAGGAACAAATGTCAAAGTCTTGCAGCCAAATTCCTCTCTTAATTATTGATTCTGTAGAAGGGAAATATAGAAACTGGCCTCTCAGGAGAAGTATAACATATCCCCCAAATTTTAAATAAATGAGGAACACTATGGAATTAATTGGGCAAAGTGTTCTTGCTATGCTAATTTTTCAAAGTGGAAAATTAGGGTAGAGAATGAGAAGAAAGTGAGAGATGAGATGGATTGTGCTCGAATCTTGCTTCTTGCCTTGGCCCAGTGGAAGTCTTAAAGTCCCCAAGTCTCCTCTCTGGCTCCTCACATCAATTCTTCCAGCCGCCTTCTCACCTGAATTAGAGTTTAAGTACACACATACAAAAGCACACATAAACACACAGACACAGACACAAACACACACACACACACACACACACACACATTAATTTGCTGCCTCACAAAATTCTCCTCAAACTTAGAAAATTCAGTACATATATATGGAAAACATTCAATATCACTCATAATAAAAATACTTATTAAAGCTGGTGTGGCATCATGCACCTCTGATCCCGCACTTGGGAGACAGAGGCAGGTGGATCTCTGTGAGTTCGAGGCCAGTCTGGTCTAGAGAGTGAGTTCCAGGCCAGCTGGGGCTACTGGGAGACCCTGTCTCAAAAGAGACCAAAAAAAACTTATTAAGACATTCAATATTGCTTTTGCTTATCAAATAGACACAATGCCAAACAAAAAAGTGATTAATGCTGGAGAGAGTTCTGAAAAAGGTACGTCTATAAACACGGCTAGTGAAACGCCAAGCAGAATTACCTCTTTTAAAAAGATTTATCTATATTTTATGTGTATGAGTGTTTTGCCTACATGTATGTATGTGCACCCTGTGCATGCAGTGCCCATAGAAGCCAAAAGAGGACATAATGGTCCTTGAGTCATGGGCGAATGAGGTACAATATAGGAGTCTTATCCAGGGACGCACACTCTGCAATCTCTTAATCTCTAAAACTTAGCCAGTTGTGGCCTTCTGTGTGTATCGCACTCTGTTGTATGAATAAGCTTCGCTGGTGAGAGTCAAGGGATACACTAGTGTTCTCTCCACCCTCTGTTCAGCTTATAGTCCATGAGCCATGGGTATAAAGGTTCCACTGTAGATGTGTCATCTAGGGCTAGGCATCTCTCAGACATATGTTCTCTGTGTGTGACCAGTTGTGGAGCCCTGCAGTAGCCCCCATCTGTTGCAAAAGGATACCTCTTTGATGAGTGGCTGTGCAGTACACTTGTCTGTAAATATAAGGATTCACATTTAGCATGTGGTGAGAAATTTCATTTGTCTAGAGAGATGACAGAGATAGAGTTTTCTCTAGGATCTATGACCTCTCCAGCTGTGTATATTTGGTTATAATTACAGTGCCACCCATGAGTTCACTCCTATTGAGAGGGCTTTAAGTTCAATTAGATAGCTGTTGATTACTCCCCAGATAACAGTGGCATTACTGCACCAATAAAGGTAGTTTGCTATGCCAGTCATTATGGTTATTAGACTTTTGGGCTGGGCTGGACCATTGATTGATTTTATTTTTTCACCCTTAGCAGCTTGCATAGTATCCTTTAGAACTATGAGAGCTGTTCTTCAGGGAGAAGGCTTCCAGGTCAGTTCCTGCTCCATTGCTCCAAGTCCTGTATCCAAAGTATATCCTGTCTTCAGCAGTAGGGTCTTACCTTCGAGTTCTGGGAGATAGCCAAGGGGTTCAGCAATAGTCTCTGACCAACCACTCAAGAGGAGGTCTCTCCTGTTTGGCCCTGTGCTCCTCGCCGAACAGCCCCCGGGTGTACCCCTGCGCTAGTGTTCAGACACTGTGTGTGTATTTCTCAGGGGGTTCCCGAACCAACACATTTCCCTCTGGCTTCCCACACTACCCAAGCTCCATTCATCTCTCCTCTCCCCCCACCCCCCGTTCAACCTCCCTCCTCCCTCCCCAATCCAAGCACTCCCATTGTTCTCCTCTCCCCCATAATGCCTACCTCCCACCATCCCCCTTTCCTGAGTTTCCTCCTTCCTCCCCTCCCAGCCAAACACTCCCACTTTCCCCACCTCCCCAGTGGTAACATCTGGTCCCCACTATCCCCCTCTTTGGGGCTCTTTCTTTCCCTTTACC